TCGACTGTAAGAGTGGATTCCAGCAAGTCCCCCTGAAAGAAGAAAACAAAAAGTTAACAACATTCAGTTGCCCAAATGGACAATTTGAGTGGAATGTTGTTCCTTTCGGGTTAAAACAAGCTCCTGGATTATTCCAAAGGAGAACTGACAATGCTCCATGTTTAAAAGACCCGAGCAAAGAATTTAGTAAAATTTGCACAGTATATGTTGATGATATAATTGTCTTCAGCAAAATCGAACAAGAACATTAGAAGCATGTTATACAAGTACTAGAACAATGTCTTAAAGAGGGAATAATTCTCTCTGAGAAAAAGGCGAAAATTGTTCAAACAAAGATTAATTTCTTAGGACTTGAAATTGAAAATGGAAGTCTAACTATGCAACCGCATATCATGACAAAAAATTCTGAATTTCCCTAAAAAATAGGAAATAAAAAGCAACTACAAAGATTTCTTGGAATCTTAAATTATGTAGAAGGCTACATAGCCAATTTGGCAGCAATACGTAAGCCTTTACAAGCAAAATTGAAAAAGGATGTCATTTTTATTTGGTCACTAAGTGATACAACATACGTAGAAAAAATAAAATAAAAAAAGCTCAAAATTCTACCCACGTTATATCACCCTCAAGAAAATGATAAAATGATTTTAGAAACAGATGCCTCCGACTCTTACTGGAGTGCAGTCTTAAAAGCAAAACCAGTAGACTCTACTGAAGAAAAATTGTGTAGATATACTTCAGGAACTTTTAAAGATGCTGAAAAGAATTATCATAGTAATGAAAAAGAATGGCTAGCAGTCTTACGTGGCATTCAAAAATTCAAAATATATCTTATCTCTAATAAGTTTTTAGTAAGAACTGATAATAAAAATTTCAGTTATTTTATTAGAAATGAATTTAAAGGAGATTATAAACAAGGTAGATTGATTAGGTGGCAATTACACCTAAAACACTATCAATTCGATGTTGAACACATAAAAGGTGATAAAAATTATCTTGCTGATTGTCTAACAAGGGAATTTGCAGGTATTTGATTGAAGAAGCAGTTACTCGAACAAGATCATCAAAAAATTGCAAAATCAAAAGCAAAAAGGACTTGAATGGATCTTCAAGTTGAAGAACTCAAATTGGAAATCATGCAAAAGGAACATGAATTGGAAATCTTAAAACAGAAATTGAAGATAATACAGTTGAAAAATCAGACAGAGAAGGGAAGACTCTCAGAGTCTGATAGTAAAAGCGAAGCCAAAACCACAACCGAATACAAAGATGCTTTGGTGAAAGATCAACAGACCCAATCAACCTTTATCGAAGATGAAAGGGCACCTAATTGGTACACGGTGCACACCGGACCAAAAATTGGAGTCTATAATAGCTTTGAGAATATAAAAGATTTGCCACAAGAATACTATCATACGGCAAAAACTGAATTTGAAGCAAGAATGATCTTTGAAAAGCTAAAAAACAAAATCACTGAGAGAGTACCAGTATTTCGTAACTCTGGTATTCCTAAAGAGCATCATTTGAAAAATCCATTCATAAAATTTGATGAATTCAAAATACAACAACTGGATAGTAAGTTAATCAAAACTACTATAACCAAGGAAGAATAGCTCACGTTATATGAAGAAGTAAACGCGAGTACAAGTGAACAAGAATATATTCATATCAGCAGAAATCAACAGATCAAAGCCATTCTGGTACCAGGAGTTACACCTGAAATAACAAGAGACTTGTTCCTAGGATGATTCATTGATACCCTCTACCAGAGAACAGTTTAAAAGAGTTGTCATATTTTTTAAAAATCAAACAAGTGATCGCTTTGTTCATGGAAAAATGCAGAATTCGTGAAAATAACAAATCAATCTTTGTTAAGGTCTGGAGTTCAATACCAGACTAGAACGAAGAAGAACAATATCCAGCATACCACTATATTCATGTGGGGGTATCTGGAGAAGTGAAACTACCAGTACCACTGGTACAAGAAAAACCTCCATTGACAGAGGAAGAGCTGAAATTAGAAAGAGCAGATAGAATTTATTTTATCTTGAAAACATTAGAAAAAATAAACTCATCAAGCCAAATTAAAGTAAATTATTGCAGCTCGAACATACTTCTGGTTAGTAATTTCAACAAGAAAATTGACAAACAAGACTTGGCCATAGTCCAGAATTGGCAGGATAATCTCATTCTTCAGATCCATACCACAGAAGCAACTAAGCAAATGGTGCAGTCCATTGTTCTTACAGTTAATGAGGAGAAAGAAAAGCACCAGAAGAAAAAGAAGAAGGTTGCCGACACAAAAGACAAAAGGGAGCCGGGCAAGCAAAAGGAGAGCCATGTGGAGGACCCTACCACTTTGGAAAAAGGAGAAAACAGCTCAAACAAGACATCATCCTCAGAAGACCTGCCAGTCATTGCCATGTGACCCTTGATAATTGAAGACCCTACCACTATGTGATGTAATAATGTAGCAAGTCATGCCATAAGTGTAGTCCCTACCACTAAGAAATAATGGAGCAGACAAACTCATGTGAAGAGTTTCTGCTTTTTTCTTCCCCTTTTCATAATGCGTTTGGTGAGACGACAACATGTGCCGAACCCCAATAATTCACGCATTTTTAGTTTCTATATAAGGGTGTGCCATTTGAGCATGTAAGGCATCAATCCCTCATCAATTTTCGAGTTTTTCATTTCATGTAAACATTTTCAATATTTAATAAAAAGCTTTTAAGCATCAATTCAAAGAAACTACAAGTTTTATATCACAGAAGCATTAAGCTTCAAACTCCTAGAAGCTATTAAGCTTCAAAGAAGGATCAAATAAAAAGCTTAGGCTAAAATTATCTGGAAGATTCCTGGAGACACAATCGCTCGTCGGAGTAAGACCCACGGAGAAGGGCTGTAAGGCGACTTGGAGCACAGTGTTTGGAATTTGAAGAATAAAAGCAGAAAGCTATGGTGGACCAATCATCTCAAGCACACTAAAAGAATTCAAAACCCAGAAGAAAGGTATGAACTCAAAACTGTTTAATAATGTTTTTAATAACATTGAAAATTGCATGCAATTACCCATAAGGTTAGATAAATATAAAGAATTAAAAAGATTAGAAAATAATCTTTTAAAGTTCCTTAAGCTAGAAATTTTAGAGAAACTAAAAATTCTAGAAAAAGGTATTCAAAGACAAACTATTAGAAATAATAGACAAAGAACAAAGGATAACTATTGCAATGATATTCATTCATCACTTGTAATTAGAGAAAAAGATTTAGCTAAAATTATATCAAACTTCGAAAAACTCTGTATATAAAGGATAATAAAATTCAGAAACTAGCTTTAGACAAGTTTCAAAGAAAAATTCCGCAAGAAAAGATGAGTATAAAAAAGAATCAAGAAAAATATAAAGGATAATAATATTCAGAAACTAGCTTTAGACAAGTTTCAAAGAAAAATTCCGCAACAAAAAATGAGTATTAAAAAGAATCAAGAAAATTAAGAAAATGGTATTAGAGCCTGGTAACATGTAAAAATACTAAACTAAAAATGCCACAAATAGATTGGTTGAATGCATTTTTAGCAAGACGTAAAACTCTTGAAAAGAAAATTGTAAATACAACACCACATTCTAAAATACATGAAAAACACATAGAATATTGGAAAGATAAACTTGAATGTATAAATATAGCTATTCAAATCTTAGAAACAAACAATAGAACTTATTCGATATTAGAAGAACAATTCTTTGTAAAATGTTTAGATCCTTGGAGATACAAAGAATAAAGTACACAAGTTAATCTAATACATTCCTTTTCTAGAAACAATAATAGAAGGTATTATGGAAAAAGAAAATAATCTTTTAGATTACTTCTCAAAACATGAAAAATCAGGCTACTTAATTGAAGCCTTGACAAATGCTAATAAATTAGGAATAGCAGATCACCATTTAAAGAAGAATCATAACTTCGGAAATGAAGGATTGATAAAGAAACTAAATAACTTAATTTCTAGAAAAAAATGAAATATTCTTTGGAATTATTTCTGGAGAAGAAGCAATAGATACAGATTAAACAGAAGGAAATGTAGTTATTCCTGTTATTGTAAAGAACAAATATTTTCTACGTTGAAAGCTATAAAAGCAGAAACTAGGAATAAAATTTCCTATTTACATGTTTCTAACTATACAAATGATTCTTAAACCAACTTATAGTCTAGGAATAGATTCACCTATTACAATAAGATTAATTGATAATAGAATGATTAATTATTCTGATGCTCTAATAAGCTGAAGGGAGTGGAAATTTAAAATTTGGTAAAATTAAGTTTAACTTAAACTACCAAGTTGGAATGTCTTATTAGACAATAATTTAGATGATTCCATCACTTTGTGTTGGAACATGAAAAGAAAAATAATGAAAACTAGAAATCATCCATTTTCAGTAACATGGAGAATAAACTATGCATTGACTAACAGTCATCACAGTTTGTCATTCAAACCTCATGATATAATTGAAATTGATGAATTGTTTTCACTAATATTACAACTAGAAGCACCTAGAAGGTCTTTTCAAGTACATAGAACTTCGTCTTTCGTAAGATCTAAAATAGATTACATTATTCTTAAACAGAATAATGAAGAAAACGAAGACAGCTCTTCGAAATTAGATACTTGTACTGAAGTAATCATAAAACCAAATAAAAATATATATAAAATTGAACAAAAGGTTCAAGATAAATAAAGAATTAGGACTTAAAATATAACAAGTTCTAACAAAATATATATATAACAAAATTACTTTTATCATAATAAAAAATGAAAGAACATTCGTTATATAAGATAAGGATATTTTTTACCTATTATTTATCACATTTTATAAAAAAGAAACAAAGGTCATTTAAATAAATCGGTGCTTTCACCATCCTTTTAAATGAAGCTCCCCCAAAAGAGGTTTTAGCGAAATCAAAACCCTCGCGGAGAGATACTGAACACAGGAACTCGAAGATGGAGGGTGTTTCGTACCAGAGGTTCCCGAAGATCAAAATCCGCACGGTTAGGGACGATTTCATGAAGTTCGAGCTGCGCGACACCGACCCCAGCATCGCCAACGCCCTCCGCCGCGTCATGATCGCCGAGGTCCCCACTATCGCCATCGATTTGGTCGAAATCGAGGTCAACTCCTCCGTCCTCAACGATGAGTTCATCGCCCACCGGCTGGGGCTTATTCCCCTCACCAGCGAGCGCGCAATGGCCATGCGCTTCTCGCGCGACTGTGACGCCTGCGACGGAGACGGCCAGTGCGAGTACTGCTCCGTCGAGTTCCATCTGCGTGCCAAGTGCATCAACGACCAGACGCTTGATGTTACCTCTAAGGACCTCTACAGCTCCGACCACACCGTTGTTCCAGTTGATTTCTCTGACTCCTCGTCCGGGGTTGAAAACACGGATAATAGGTAATTCTATTTCTTTTACTTGTGTTTCTTATGCGTGGTTCTTATGAGTGTTCTACTCAGAGGGTGGTGGAGAGTTTTCTTATATGGTATTTTCTGATTTGGTCTCTGACATTAAGCTAGGTAGGGATTTTGGGAGTCGAATTATCATGAATCATGATAAACTATCTGATCCTAAAAAGATCTGGCAATGCGGAAGATTCTGTAAAGACAGGAATTTGACATATTCAAATTTTGCATTAGGGATTTTAGGGAAGGGTGGTTAAGTTGGGCAAAGGCTGCGGAAAAATATCATATTGTAGGATATAATAGAAAGTGAAGTAAATAAGATTGCTTGCTTGGCTTATTCGTTTATCATTTTGGCAATGTTTCTTTCTGTCCCATGTTACGATATTGATAATGCTCTTCCACAGTTCTAGCTAGGGGCTGCAAGGTTGATTTTGAACTCTGTGTCTCTAGTCGGCTACTTTCTAGCTGAGTTGATTGAACTAACTTGAACTGTATATGCAATCATGGAGGGTTAAGTAGGGGATTAAATGATCAATCTAAGAAGGAAGTAGATAGCTAATAGTACTTTTGTGAAGATAGGAGCTTAGTTTTGCTGTTTATTTTAAAAAGATTTGGAAAAGCTGAGGTGAGGTGATACAATTGAAGAGAACTATGAAGGGAAGTAAATAAGGTATATTTTCATCTTTGCATATTTAATGTTAGGTTTTATCAACACTGTCATTTCAGTTTTTGCATTATAAAGAGAAGATATTTCATATGTCATTTATGATACATGATGTAGGGGAATCATCATTGTTAAGCTACGCCGTGGTCAGGAGCTGAACTTACGAGCCATAGCTCGGAAAGGAATTGGCAAAGATCATGCAAAATGGTCACCTGCTGCAACTGTCACTTTCATGTATGAGCCCGAGATTTATATCAATGAAGAGCTGATGGAAACCTTAACACTCGAGGAGAAAAAGGAATTTGTTGAAAGCAGCCCTACAAAAGTTTTCGAGATTAATCCCAATACCCAACAGGTTTCCGCACGAGTTTATTAATTGTATCAGGCCCATAATTGAGTCATAAAATATCAATGTTTAAGAAAATCCCACGTTTGTGATACAGAGTGAACAAGAAAAAAAAAAAAAAGATATATCATGGGCTTTATAGCCGGTGTGTTTGTGTTTTATCTGAATGTGATTCATGTCATATTATTTGATTTATGTATAATCTCCCGTTTCAATTTTGTTTCGTTTGCCCCCCTTTTAGGTTTATGTTCATGATGCTGAGGCATATACGTATGACGATGAGGTGCTGAAGAAAGCTGAGGCCATGGGAAAACCAGGTCTGGTTGAAATCAACGCAAAGGAAGATAGCTTCATCTTCACGGTCGAGACAACTGGCGCAATCAAGGCATCTCAGCTGTTGATCAATGCCATAGAGGTGTTGAAGCAGAAATTGGATGCTGTCCGTTTATCTGCTGACACGGTTGAAGCTGATGAGCAATTTGGGGAATTGGGAGCTCACATGCGTGGCGGTTGATTTGTGTTTTTGTCAGTTTGCTCATGCATGTGATGTTTTACTTTTTAACTTTAACTTGTTATGAAAACTGATCTTATGTTCTATAACTTATTGTTGGAGTTGACGTTCCTTGTTCGATATGCAAAGTCACCTGTAAGTGTTAGTGCAAATGTGGGAAGGAGGAGGACTGGTTTTGATAGTTCTGAATCTAGGTGATGGCTAAACCTGGACTTAAAGATGTCGAGATGTTGCATCATATTTTGTTTTGGACCAAATGACGATGATATGATATTGTAGGTGGTGTCCAGGTTGTGCTTGCGATATTGTAGTCGTCCAGGTTGTGCTGAGAAATTGTACCGCTTGTGATCATTACAACTTGGGGGTAAATTGCAATGTCCTTTTATTTTGCAAAGTTGGAAAATCTCTCTCGATGCATTCTGTCATTTTATGCTCATAGTTTAGTTCATTGGAAAATCTCAAAAATTGTTTTGAAAAATTCACATATGCTTGTGTCAATGAAAGAATGTTGAGGGTTCTTGAATCTTGAAAACATCTACAGTTCCCTCTGAGTCTCCATGGATGATTGTTCCTACGAGCCTACCGTGATTATTCACGATTCCAGTTATGTACAAATTGCATATTTTGTTCTGCATTTTTGAAACACAACACTTCAAATTGGATTTTGGATTGCAGTTTTACCAGATAGTGAATGTTAGTTTTATCTGTTTTTGGTTACTACTCACTGATCTACCTTTACTATGGCTTTTGCTATATTGCTTCTATTACATTTTGCTACTTAATTGAGCTGCTGGAACTTTAAAGAGAGACACAGACTCACATTCGTAGTTCATACTACTATTGCCAAACAATTTCTGATCGTCCACACACATACACACACACACACACACACAACTAACTTTGGAGAGTTGTTCATTTTCAACTACACTCCACAATCCTATCTTTTTTTGTGCAACCTCAATTCTTTCAGCAGCGACTCCAAATCGTTATAACTCGAACCCCCTTTCTCTACAGCCTTCCTTGCCTCCTCACTTAACACCTTTGCCCTCCTCCTCATCTCCGCACCTTCTTCTCCAACCATCACTCTATTCACAGCCCCAGCTATATTCTCCCCTTTAATCAGACCCCGCTCGACATCTGTCCTCTGACTCCACTCCATGCTACCCACCGGGGCCCCAATCCTCAAAACCTCTGTCACAAGCTTCTCGTTATCAAACTGCTCTGAGGAGATGGGCCACGTGATCATCGGCTTGCCAGCACACACGCTCTCCATTACCGAGTTCCACCCGCAGTGCGTGAGGAACCCTCCCACGGCCTCGTGCTCGAGGATCAGGACCTGCGGGGCCCACCCCCTGATCACTAGCCCCTTTTCCTCCGGTACCCACCCCTTCCCCTCTCCGTCTTTCACGACCCATATGAAGCACCTACCGCACGACTCTAACCCGACCGCCATCTCCCGAATCTGTGCTTCCGAGAAAAACGAGATGGTTCCAAAGCAGACGTAAACAACCGAGTTCGGCTCTCTTGCGTCGAGCCAATCCAAACAGTCCCTTGCGCTTTTACCACCGCCTCTTAGCGCTTTATCCGTGTCATCTCTGTTGCAGAGGGAGACTGGGCCCACGTGCCATGCCCGCTTGTTCACCGTGCACTTGTAGTGCTCAACATAAGCTGACTCCAGTTCCCGGAAGCTATTCACGACCACCCCAAAGCTCGCAGCCTCCTTCTCGGTCGAGTCTTTCACCTGTTTGCTGGCAGGATTTTGCCCGCGCAGGTAGTCTGGCAGCTGCTGTTTGGTCATCCACACGATGTCTGGGAGTCCGGGGACCACGAATTCATCCGACTCTGGCCTGTGCCGGATCAGGCTGTGATACACGCAGAGCGGGAAGAATCCGGCTCCATGAAAAACCAGCCGAGGGATCCGAAGATCGGCCGCTACCTCGTCGGCCCATGAGAAGAAAAAGTCAGACACAAGGCAGTCAGGCGGGTCCTGTCGCAGGACGAGCTCGACCGGGTGCCTGAGGAGCCCGAGTGCTTTGATGAACTTGGCGGACATGTGTGGAGATGTGATGGAGGAGAGGCTCTCGCAGCCGTCCGGGAGGCCAGCTTGTGGGCCCGGAAATGGGATTTCAATAATGTCCATGTTGAGTCCTTTCCGGCGCTCGCGCTCGACCGTGGCTCGGAAGTTGGGCGCATTGAGGTGGGTGAGGAGGATGGTCGACTTTACACGGAGGTCATGCCGGGCGAACTGGCGAGCCATGTCGACTAGAGGGATCATGTGGCCGGGGGCCATCATGGGGAGGAAGTAAAAATGGAGCTCATAACTCATGATTGCTTGTTTAAATTGGTAGATTAAGAAATTGAAGCGATGGGATCTGTTTGAGTTGGTGCAGTGAGCACTATGCAGAGTCTTTGAAGTATGACGGCAAAAGTATTCCATCCACTTGATATATATAATTATTTCAATGCCTGTATGTTGAGTCTGCTTTGAAGGGGACTAGTTGGCAACTTCCTTCACAATATTTGTTCGCAGCTTCTGTTATTTATTTTTTATGGTACGTGGGGCGCAAGGATGTGGTTCCATTCGTCTTGTTGATAAAGATGGTCAGTCAACGGGCCGGGCCAGTGGGCCTCCCATGGGTGACCCTTCACCGGCCCGCCAAAAACCAAGGGCCGGGCCCTTGAACCGGCCATGTCCCGGCCTAGCCCGGTCCTGAACCAAAAAAAAAAAAAGTGTGAACCGAGACCGAACTACAAGGGCACGGTCCCGGTTCTCGGGGACCGCAGCTTTTCGGGCCGGTTGTGGGCCGGGTCGGGAGCAGTATGGTGCCGGGATGTCGGGCCGGTCCGGCCCTTGGCCATGTCTACTTGTTGATTATTGCATCGTGGACTCTGCATAATTGACATGCTCAACTAGTATTATGTTAACCACAAAACGACATTTCTCTCATTCTTTATGATCATTTTACACTTTAAAAAAGATGCAACACACACACACTGTACACAAACGAATATATCTTGGTAATTGGTGATTCATAGAACAAGAACAACAGATAAGTAGCTACATATGTAGGAGAAATTCCTCAATCTCCAAATTATACATTTCACAATCTAGCTCGCACACGTGACACCTTTCACGGGACAACTATACGTACTTAAATCTTGAATCAAAGTAGCCATACCATTATAAGACGACCCTCCTTCCTCTACGGCCTTAATCGCCAAGTCCTTATAACATTTTACTCGGTTTCTCATCTCCAACCCCAATTGATCCCCCTCCATCACGATCCCCACCGCTCTCGCCAATGCACCCCTCTTCACGCCCTCACTACCCACCCTCTGCCACGTCATGTTCCCGACGCTAACCCCGACTCGCAGAACCTCCGTCACCAACTTCTCGTTGAAAAATTGCTCGGCGAAAAGCGGCCACGTCACCATGGGGACACCCGCGCAGACGCCCTCCAGCATCGAGTTCCACCCGCAGTGCGTCACGAAAGCGCCTGTGGCCTCGTGTTGGAGGACAGCCACTTGAGGGGCCCATCCCCTTATGACGAGGCCCTTGCCTCGCGTTCTCTCGATGAACCCCTCGGGGAAGAGGTCACCATCGTTTTCATCGCCTTTCGTTCGCACCACCCATATGAAATCGTGGCCGGATGTCTCGAGCCCGTATGCGATTTCGTGCAGTTGGGATCGGGAGAATTCTGCCATGCTCCCGAAACACACATACACGACCGAGTTGGGCTTCTTCGTGTCCAACCAACCCAAGCATTCATGTGCATCGATCGATGATTTGTTTCCCTTTTTGGCTTCATTATGAACTACAATTTCAATCATTGGACTTGTTAGAACAATTTGGTCAAATACAAGGAATCTAATTAGGATTTCGGTTCTCTAACCTCATCTACTTTAAGTTGGGGAGAGTGGAATATATGAATATAAATCATTTCTAACGTTTTTAAATCAGTGCTTTACCTCTGTCTCCTCTGTTGTGCAAAATAAGTGGGCCTATGTTCCAAGCCTTTCTCCCCAAAACTCCCTTGTAATACGAGGCATACTCCGGCTCGAGCTCGTAAAAGCTATTAACCACAACTCCATAGCTCTCCCAATCCGAGTCCCTCATTCGCTTCATAACCCGGCTAATCTCGTTGTCCTCTAAAAGATGATCCGACACTTGTGTTCTAACAAACTTGAGCTCATGCGGGAGATGAGGCACGACAAACTCTTCCGAAGCCGACGAGACCTTGTCGAAAGGCCTGTCACGGCTCATTATCTCCATGCAACATAGAGACAAGTAGCTTATCCCGTGAAAGACCAATCTTGGGATTTTGAATTTGGCGGCGCAGCCCGTGGTCCACGGTAAAAACATGTCCGAAACGAGACAGCTCGGATTTAGTTCGCGAATGAGATTTTCGAGCGGCTCTTGGAGTAAATCCAGGGCGTGGAAAAAATCGTGGACTAAATCATCCGAGGTGACTTGGTCCATGCTCACGATATCGTTCGGCAGTTCGGAATTTTTCGGCGGGAAGTCGATTATTTCGAGATTAATGTCGAATCCCGAGGTTTGGGCCGTTCGTATCGGTTGGGCGAATGCCGGGGTCGAGATTATGGTGGTTTTTACGCCTCTGGAGACGAAGAGTTTGGCCATGTCTAGTGTGGGGATCATATGGCCATGAGCTACCATTGGAATCAAGAAAATGTGGAGATGGCTCATCTTTTTTTCTTTTTGGGTTTTATTTTCTTGTTATGTTTTGAATGAACGAAGTATATGAGATTAAAGAAGCTCAAGGTTTATAGGGGGATAATAGAGAGATAATTGAAGTAGTATGTTGTATAGACATTGAATTGCATTAATGAGTTGTGACAAACACCGAACTCGAGGAGAAGGTGGATACCAAATTGTTAGAGAGTTATGAACAGAAGTCTTGGAAAGTGTGGCTGTAATGGCAACAGATTGTGCCAAATTTTATTAAATGACAAGGTACAAAAAGTCAAAAACGCTACTCAGCAGGTCACGCGAACGAAATTAACCAATTAAATAAATAAATAAAATGTTAACGAGATTTTAATAATGTATTAAAATAATATTTAAAATAAAATAATTATTATTGATTTAATGAAAAAGTAGGAGATAAATGGTTGAAAATAATTGGAAATGATAGGTAGTTAAAATTTTGTTAGTAAACGAATAATGAATTAATATTTATGTGATATGTAAGAATGATTGATTTATAATATTTAATTATATAAATAATATCTATACATCTATATATATATATATA